CCCCAAAACCCCAAAACCCCAAAACCCCATGTTGGAAGAAAATATTGAGAATTTTAATTTATCAGATTACCTGCACTTCTCAAAACATCAATACGACAGAACCAGTCTCTTCAACCGAGACCTACCTTCAGAGTATAGATCAACCTCTGCTGCTTTTATACAAATCAAACAAAAACTGTCGCAGCAAGGTCTATCTGACTAGAATCAGTACATTAGATTCCAATGGCTCAGGACCTACCAATTCCCACATAAAACAAATAAGCAGATTCATTAGGCCAGCCATCGATATAACTATTTGGTGAAACGTATCTCTTAGCTTTGATTTCAGCTATAAAAATGCACAAAGGGCTATTCTAAAGAATAGTTTTCCAGAAATGTCCATGTTGGCAACCATAATTTTAGAAGTAAATCTTGAATGTATTTTAGCTAAAGGATGAACATTAAGAGGAATCTTTGATATCTAAATTTATCTAAACAATGACATGAACAGAGATAAAATTTGCACCAGCCGTTGGTGCCTTCAAAAACACTTAAAATGCTTATTATTAATTTCTTTAGGGATTAAAACTATGCAAGAAGAATTTGTCTTGTATGAGTTTTTATGTTAGTAAATATTGATTTTGTTAACAAATTATCAACTTTATATTTCCCAATTCTCAGATTAATTCTTCTCTAAAGGTAGAGGAAGTATATCTATGAAGTTCAACTCATTCAACATATTCATTTCTAAGTTATCTACGTATATTGCATCATCTTCAAGTTGTTAAAATATTCTCAATTTTTTATTATTTTCTAACTCTCTATACTACATAATTAATAATATTACTTCTGAGATTCAGCTCCATATTCATTATAAATTCTATCTGGCCTTAAGCCATCATCTCACCATAACCTCACAGCCTAAATTCGAACTTTCTGGTTTAAAAATGGCTAAATTTGATATTCAGCCACTTTAAGCCTATTTTGATGCTGGTCTGTTCAATAAGCAGACTAGCTTGGCTTAGTTGAAATGTTCAGTTTAAGAGAATAATTAGTATCTTTTAGTACTCCAGGAACTTTATTATACCATCATCATAGTCGAATTTTTTACTTAGAGATATCACATCTTCTGTGACTAAGTTTCACAACTCCAGAAATATCTTTGACAAAGTCTTTCTGCAAGGACATTTGCTAATCATACTCAAAATATGAGGCACATATAGTGGATTCAGAACATAAGCAGGCTTTCTTGGGAAATATGAAATGTGAAGGTATTCCAGACTTGAAGTTCCCTTAATAGAAGTCTCTGATCTTGATATTTTTGCAAGACTAATCTTGCAATTTTCTAAGAACATACTCTTTCACTTAATTGATGAACAGAGCAGAAGAATGAATCTCTTGCTTGGTAATTGGATACATTTTATTTCAATTCTTTTTGTAACTGTGCAGGCTATTCTGGCAAAGCCTCTGAACATCCATGAAATGTTCTTCTTAAGGAGTCTTGAGTCCTTTGTATGTATAGAGAGAGTCTCCAAATTTTTGATTGGCTTCGAAAATAGCTTTCTTGCATACTTGTTTTCAGTTTTGACTGCTTCTTCTAACACAATGCACATCTTTTGCTCTTTGACCGTGTTGACAAGAACTGAAAGCTTTGACTCTTTTAAATAGTTCTGATGAAGAAAGTAATTAAAAACTAAGATAATCTCTGAGACTCCAATATGACAAAACTTCTGACAAGTAACATTGTTGACTCTTTGAGTTATTGTCATCTCTTTCTTCAAATTGATATCTTCATCAAGAGTTCTTGAGCTCTTTCTTAGTGAAGACTTTAAATCTGAAGGATCCATTTGTTAATATTTCAAAATCTGTCTAATATTTCGGGGTTTTGGGGTTTTGGGGTTTTGGGGTTTTGGGG